CGCGCCACCATGCCCGGCTAATTTTTTGTATTTTTAGTAGAGACGGGGTTTCACCATGTTGACCAGGATGGTCTCGATCTCTTGACCTCGTGATCCACCCGTCTCGGCCTCCCAAAGTGCTGGGATTACAGGCGTGAGCCACCGCGCCCGGCTCCAATAATGCTTCTTTAGGCCCCAAGCCCAGCCTGGACTAGAATCCTCAGTCAGTGGCTGCTGGGCTCCAGGTATTTGAACAGATCCCTGAGTGTCCTTCAAGGCTTGGTGTTGGGTGAGCACTCAATACACGTGTATAAGTTGGAACCTACCCTCTGAAACCATTGCCTGTCAGTGAAGAGGAGGCCCTCTGGTGTCTACCCAGATGGGAGTACCCACTCCCTTTGTGGCCACAAAGATGCAAGGGCCCCTGAGGCTCTGTGCCCTCCCTGGCCTGTGTGACCTCTCATTCCAAGGTTCACAGGTCCCAGCAGGAGCTGAGTTCTGCCACCTGGATGTTGTAACCCATCCTGCCTAGGGTAGGCTAGCTCTCTTTCCCACACTCGCAGGAGAACTGAGGCTGAGGCACTGTTGGTTTTCTCCCTGGAGCCTGGCTAATGCATCCTCACCATCTGGAGACTTCGCAGTGAGAGACGGGAGAAGCTCGTAGGAGGAGAGGGCTCTTCAGGACACGTCATGGCTGATGCCCTCCCTCATTTTCCAGAAAATCCAGGGTTTGGGCAGCGTTGGCACCCCACGTGTCTAATCTGGGGTATGCAAGGGCGATGATTCTTATGCCTTCTCTCCTAACTGAACCTGTGAGACCCCTGCGAGGACCCCTGGAGCCCAGTGCTCCCGGGTCGGGTCCTGACCTAGCCCGTGTTCCAGTTCCCAGGAGAGGCGTGTATTGTGGCTGGAGGACTTGGAGTGGTCTCTTACCAAGCTGCAGGGTCATACTCGGCCCAGACACGCACGTACTCATCCAGGTGGTGGGGGCCCAGGATGGAGGAGTCTCGGGTGAGGTACTCGAAATTGTCCATGATGACGGCGACAAAGAGATTCAGCATCTGTGGGGACACCGGGGACCAAGATGGAGTGGCGGCAGAGAAGGAGGGAATGAACAAGTGAGGGTGAAGGATACAGACAGACAGACACACCCAAAGACATGTACACAGAGGCCCAGATGGAGCGAGGGATAGAGAGAAGATGGGAAAGGAAATGAGACAGACAGATGGGGGGACAGAAAGGTGACGCTCACGCACACGAGGAGGGCCAGTGAGAGGGAGATCAAGTGGAGAGATGGAAGAGACGGACAGACAGAAAGAGATGGAGAGAGATACAAAGAGACAAAGACTGGCCGGGCGCGGTGGCTCACGCCTGTAATCCCAGCACTTTGGGAGGCCGAGGTAGGCAGATCACTTGAGGTCAGGAGTTCAAGACCAGCCTGGCCAACCCGGTGAAACTCCATCTCTACTAAAAATACAAAAATTAGCTGGGTTTGGTGGCATGCGCCTGTAATCCTAGCTACTTGGGAGGTTGAGGCAGGAGAATCGCTTGAACCTGGGAGGTGGAGGCTGCAGTGAGCTGAGATCGCGCCACTGCACTCCAGCCTGGTGACAGAGGGAGACTCTGTTTCAAAGAAAGAAAAAAGAAAGAGACAAAAACCAAGAAGGACAGAAAGAGACAGAGTCAGTGAGAGAGGGAGGAGAGGCTACTGAAATGAGGACCAACAAGAGAACCACCGTGACCCCAAATCCTCCCACATCTGCCCCCAACAAGGCCAAGTTTTTCCCATTTTTATTTTTCATTTTTGAGACAGGATCTCACTCTGCCGCCCCGGCTGGAGTGCAGTGGTGTGATCATGGCTCACTGCAGCCTCGACCTCCAGGGCTCAAGTGATCCTCCCACCTCAGCCTCCTGAGTAGCTGGGACTACAGGTGTGCTGCGCCACATGTGCAGCTAATTCCATCTTTTTTTTCTTTTTTTGAGACAGAGTCTGTCTCCCAGGCTGGAATGCAATGGTGCAATCTTGCTCACTGCAACCTCCATCTGCCTCAGCCTCTCAAGTAGCTGGGATTAAAGGCACCTGCCACTACACGTAGCTAATTTTTGTACTTTTAGTAGAGACAGGGTTTTACCATGTTAGTCAGGCTAGTCTCGAACCCCTGACCTCAGGTGATCCGCCTGCCTCGGACTCCCAAAGTGCTGGGATTACAGGTGTGAGCCACTGCAACCAGCCTCAATTTATTTATTTATTTATTTTTAAAGAGATGGGTTTCGCCATGCTGCCCAGGCTGGTCTTGCTTTCCTGGGCTCAAGTGACCCTCCCACCTTGGCCTCCCGAAGTGCTGGGATTACAGGCATCAGCCACTATGACTGGCTGAAATATTTCACTGGGTCTCAAATGGGGGAATTCTGTCCCCGGCTCCCACCCCCACCCCCTGGGGGCATTTGCGAATGTCTGTAGACATTTGTGGTTGTCACAGCAGGAGAAAGGGGTGGCGTGTGCTGCTGGCATCTGGTGTGGGGAGGACAGCGATGCTGCTGTGTACTGTGCAGGCATAGCGTGGCCCCACCCCAAAGAATCAGCCAGCCCCAAATGTCAACAACTCTGAGTTTGAGACGCTCAGGGTCACCTGATCCCAGGCTGGTTCAGAGAAGTCTTGGAGGGAACAAACATTTGACACAGCCACGTTCTAGAGAAACCCACTCCCCTGAAAGGGAGACAGACTTAGGGAGCCCACCCGGCCCTCACAGTGTCCACAGACTCACCAGAAATGAGCAGAGAAAGATGAAGGAAACGAAGTAAAAATAAGCAAATTCATTGCCACACTCTCGAGTCAGGATGCCAGAGTTCTTATCACACGGTTTCCCGCTGAGGCAGGAGAGCATGATGTTGTGCCACGCTTCCCCGGTGGCACTCCTGAGGACAGGGAGAAATCAGAGGCTTGGGCACCCAGCCCTGACTGGGCACGAATGCCTCCCCGGGAGGTGGAGCACACATGGGTTCTGGCACTTGGGTTCTGGAGCTGGCCAGGCAAGTCCCAGCTGGACCACCTCCTTTTTCTGGGAGCTGTGTACTGAAGTCCATAGGGAGCTTTGA